AGGCCGCGACTTCGACTGCGTTGTCTGCGCGGCGCCTGGCTCTGTGGGAGTCAACTTCTCAAGTTTCCGAGATCACTTTTGGTCTTGTTCCCACAAAGGTAGCTCTGTTTGCTTTTTTGCTGCTACCGCCTGCAAGCACAAGCAAGCACTATCGGCGGCAAAGCTACTCTTTGGCTCTGCGCTGACCTCTAATCGCTTAAAAACTTTGAAAATAGCACCGCAGCACCGCGAAACCGGAGTGGGCACTGCACCCGGAAAGGCTCAGACGTCCGGGCCATTCGGCACCCGCCACCACCACACCATGTGCGGCCCCAAGTGCAGAGTGGCTGTCTCCTCACCGTACGCAGTTGCTGCGCTCAAAGCAATGCTTGGATGGTTCATTGAAACGTCTCATTGTTGGCGGCCTTCCTGTCACCAGAATTCATCTTAACCCGTCAGGGCCCCTTTGCCCAACCAAAATCCCTCCCCCCATGGCATCGGTCCGGTACCAGCGAATGCACAGCCCTGGTGACACCCTCCACGCCTCGCCAGGCTTCGACAAACAGATGTAAGCTTGAAGGTTCAGACAACTCTACCAAGATCTACCGAGACAGCGGTTGCGGTCCATTGACCGTTGCCACAAGCACAGCGTCAGCTTAAAGGGTGCCAGACTAATTCCCCACATGAGCTCCAAGACATGTGGCCGGCTACCCGCAGAAAACAGCAGAGGACCCAGCCGGCACGGTAGTCGTGGCCAGCAACCACGCCGCCAGGTGGCACCAGCTTGGACCAGCTGCGAATGTCACGGGTGCATGACCTCTGGGCTGCGCTTCGTAAAGTCCCCCCCCACCGTCCCCTCCCTCCCCCTACTTGGAGGTTCGTGGTACTTATTAACCAAGTATAACTGTACTTCTAGCCCTATTAGGGCACTTAAGGGGCTGATAAGTGGGTTATAATACAGTTCGAATTGGTTAGTACGTTCCATGAACCTCCAAGTGCCTTCTGTAATCCCCCCTGGACCACGGGAGGTCAACCGAAAGCTGTCGTCCCTGCAGCCCTCGGGTGCTGCGGTCTCGTCCACTTTCCTACATCAGCTTCGCGAGTAGCTGCGCTGGGGGGTTCTCAGCGCAGGAAGTCAATCAATGTTGCCTGGATCGCCTTTTGAAAAACCCGAAAGCCTGGCTCCAACTCACACCCCTATGTGTTATCATTCGCTCTGGCTGTGACGAAAGATCGCAGACGTCCAAGAGAAGATCCAAGTCCACCCAGCAGCTCAAAATCATGCTCGCCATCGACGAAGACAAGGCTCGGCAACTGACATGGAATCTAGCAACTTCACAGGACTCTGCTTTGCACGATCTCCACTAGTTGGTCACTAGCCTCAGGGCTCCCCCCAAGCAACGTGCAGGCTATGTCTAAGTTTCCAAGTTTCCAATCTCGCCACCCTAAGCCCTGCTTGCACAAGAATCCCAGAGAAATGCTCGGAAAATGCTCGGGATGCCTTTTCCTGGTCCCATTTGGCGGCCGCAGTTGCTGATGCCTCAGCGTGTGCACCCAGGCTTCTGTTGCTCTGCAACTGTGCGAAGTCATGAGCGAGCAAACTCGAAGACGACAGGCTATCAAAAAGGCACGGTTCCTGCAACGATTCATGTCAACCTTGCCTAGGGTCTTTCCTCACCTTGTGGCTACGCCTTTTGGGTACGATGGCCATGCGCCTTCGTCATGCAGCCGCAATCCAAACGAACAAAACTTGGGTTATCCGCCAGTGTCCTGAAGGTCATAACTAAGTGATTCGCTTACTTCGCTTACAACTTGTGATGCAACCTGCCTCTCGCCACAGGCGTGCTCGTGATGGAAACCGCTCGTAGCGAGCCAAGGCTTCGCCTCTTGGCGTAAATGGCTTGGGGTGTTGGGGTGAAACATCCACTGTCCCTCCCGTCTCTCGGTATTTCACAGCCGATTTGATTTGAGCCTCGCAAGAGCCGCGTCGAGTTTTGCATCTTTCTTTGGTGCCAAAGAGGCTTCTCAAGTATTACAAAGCACCATAGGCAGCCACAAGCATCGCCAAGGGGCTGAAGGCTTCCTCACCTCCCATCTTGTCCCGGCGCTCGCTGCTCCTTTGTTCTGATGCTGGATGTTTGTTTTGATACGCCACTCAGCCTGGATTAGTTCACCGCAGACTGCACTTCCTATCTCGCGCTTGAGTCTGCGCTGCGTCTGGCGTGTTCTGGGGTCCAGATGACAAGCTTCCGCCCTCTTTAGTTATCTTCTGCGAAATGCTTCCGCGTTGTTTTTTAGCGGATGCATGTTGATGTTGAGATGCATTTTGTTTTTAAAGCGAGGCCTCTGCTGGTTGTAGATGCCCGGGTAGGGATCCACACCGAGCCTTGGTCCAATGATGTCCCCAATACAACCTTAAGTTAAGAAGGGAGGGGGGGGATGCCGGGATTCATTCATGTTTCAACTCGGTTGAAGGAGATGCCTTAATTTGAGTTTTCGGATTGTTTTTGGGGCGCCCAGTCTCAGGAAAGCCATGCCGGCCGGCAGCAATGTGAGATTTGGCATGGCATCCAACAGGAACTCCGACGTCTGCCCTGCAAAGCAGCTTGCTGTCTCTTGGCTGAGGGCGAGGTGCGCAGCTTTGGCTTTTCGAGTACTATTTTATCTTGTAATTGCGGTGGGCCTCTCACAAAACACATGCAATGTGAACTCATGTTTCGAGCTTACCTAGGCATCACCCTCTAGTAGGGTGACCGTCGAGTCGGCAAAATAAACCGAAAACTGGTGGACCGAGTCCGAAGACAAAAAGGAAGAACTAGAGGAAAACAGGAATAAACTCTACAATCCTAAACCCCGAACCTCAAAACCAGGAAACCCAAAACCGCCCTTAAGCCCTTCCACCCTTAAACCCTAAAACCCCTTTGCAACCAGGCGTCTGTAAATTGCCGGACACTTTAACATGTTTCCGAACAGCGGGATTCCCAAATCCTAACCTAAAAACTACGCCCTTTCAGGCTCTGCAGGGGTCCCTAATTTCAAGGTGGTGCCACATGGCTGGGGAAAATTCTTGTCAGCGGCTGGGGCCGCTAGGGTTTAGGGTAAGGAGCCTCGATTCCCAAACACGCCACTTTTACGAATCCTGGCCGCGTGGTCTTCGGCGGTTTGGGGCTCTTTGGCCGGATCCCACTGAACAGAAGGCTAAACCCAATGCTTTCTATAGACAAAAGGCGCGAGGCTTGCGAGACGCCGACAAGCCGAGGCCACCGTCCGAGCCTCCCGCTCAGGACGTGCAAGCGGCCTTGCAAACATTCTGCTGGGCTTGGGACCCCCCGCAACAATCACAGTACTTGTAGTAGTGTTCGGTGGGATGGTTATCCTTCCAATTCTCCTGGTACCAGTTGTAGCCGCAGCCTCCCTCGCAGCCAAGTTCGCAAGTGGGTCGAGAGATCAGCCCTGCTGCTCCTGCGCAAACTTCTTTGCAGTCGTCTTGCTGAGCCTGGGATCCTCCACAACATCCACAGTACTTGTGGAAATCATGAGAGGGCGAACCGTTTTGCCATTGACTCTGATACCAGTTGTAGCCACACTTGCTGCAGCCTAGCTGGCATTCCACCTGCTTCAGCCCAACTGCTTGATCCATGGAGCCAACGAGTTCGCCCGAGGATTCGACCCTGTCGACACGGAAGTGGCCGGTGACATGAAAGACCTTGCCATTTGCATAGACACCGTGCTTGAGTCCCACACCGTGCTCCAGGACAGACTCCACCGTTTTCTCGCTCAGCTTAGTCACTAGCTTCGTCGCTAGCTTAGTGACAGCACTGGCACCAGCCGTGATCGCAGCCAGAGCAGTGTCACCAACCACACCAACGATCGGCTCCGCCACACTCCAGCCGTTGAAGAGCTCGGCCCTGCCAAAGTTCGCTTGCGCCCTCACGGTGAACCACACAACTCCACAATAGGCACGCCATCGCTGCCCAGGTTCCAGGACATTGACATAGTGCAGAGGACCGACCTGCTCTAAGGACACTGCCACAGGGAAGTTGGCCTTGTTCACGAAATACATGCAGGGCCCTGCAACTGTCTCATTGCCCTGTCCCTGCGAGCTTGCACCATCAGTGACAAGCTCACCATCACGATTCTCTTGCCGGAAAGCGACAGCATACACGAAGAACAAGTTCAAGATCTTAGCAAACTGCATTACCATGGCGCGTCTGGCCGTGAGACTTTTGTGTTCGAATCGAGTCGGCAAAGTGGAGAATGACAAGGACGACCAAGCATGTTCCAAAGACGCGGCAAAAGTGCGGAGGGAACCCTACCGCACGACTCTTCTAGGCTCTTATGGATCAAGACCAGATTCTCTCAGAGCGATGCCCTCACCGGATGTGTTAGAATACCAAGCTAGCTAGCATCAGGATCTGGTACCTAGCATGAGCCTGAATCTCTTGTGGCCTGGGCCCGCTGAAAACCCACTTTTGATGGGAAAGAGGACACAAGACTGAGGAGTACAACAACAACAACAAACAACAAACAACAAACAACAAACAACAAGCAACAAGCAACAACCAACAAGCAACAAGCAACAAGCAACAGCAACAGCAACACCCACAACCACAACCACAACCACAACCACAACCACAACAACAACAACAACAACAACAACAACAACAACAAGAAGAAGAAGAAGAAGAAGAAGGAGATGCTACTAGATCTCATGTTACGTGGCAACCAGCGCACAAAACATGCAATTGCTTAGCCCCGCCCTGGACTTCTCAAGCTTTGTCGATCAAATGTGCAAAAGAAACAGTCGTCAACATGGCAAATAAGGCAACAGCAGAAGCACAACAAATGAAAGCGCCCCACATATGCGGGCATCCGCAATAGTAAACCCTGACCCCAAACACCCAACATCCTTGAACAGACCCTTCGAGTGGCTCGTAAAACCCCCCCAAATCCCTCCAATAAGTTGACCCGACAAAGGAACGCACAACCTGTAGAAATTGTTTGGGTTGTAGGTAGCGCTCCATTCATGCTGTCCAGCCGATGACACAACACCCCCAAACAAGGGCCTACGCGTCGGACCAAGGTTTTCTCTTTAAGCAAACAGTGTCCAAAGTTTGGGTACCCCAAGTTGGCACTTGGGTTCGGGCGTTTCTGACCCATGGCTATTGTGTTTTCGACTCAGATGCCTCAGGAGCACTTGTTGTCAGGTCTCTCCTCTCCCATGCTCCCCTTCCCCAGAGCGCCTACGTCCACACCCACCTCCACCATGAGGGGATCTTCTTCCTCCAGACTTTCTAGCAGGTAGAGGAGCACCTCCACTCCCAAGAGTTGAAACTGAAGAGGTTTGGGGATTCACCCTGGGCTGAGTGGCGTGCGCGGAACTTAGCTCACTGTGTTCTCCTTGGGTGGAGCAGCGGTTCACGAGATACTCTGCCAAAAGCCCGTGACAAGTACGGCCCTCGCCGAGAAATGGAAGAACACTGGAAGAACGCAACAATTTGTGGCCACAAAGCCCATGAGCACCATGAGTAGGACCGAGTAGGAGATATCTGCCGATCCATGTCCTGGCCTCGGAACCCTTTTTCCCTCACCCCGAAGAAGCATTTTGAGACGACTGAGAACAGTTACAAATGGCCTCCGAGGGGCTTGCTTTGAACAGAACCGAGTGCGGAATTACTGCCGGTACCTGGCACATGCTCTGAACTGGATTTGCAGTTGAGCCATAGAAGAAGCCTCACGACATGTTAAAAGACCAGTGGCAAACCGTGCGAGTTCTTGCAGGGTTCGCAACAATTTGACGTCATTGCACGTTCTTTGGGTACTTACAGCTTTCGGAGCCTGGCTGCTACCGGAATTGCCTTGTTCGGGGTCTCAGGCGGACTGCTTCCCTGGTTGTGGAGTCCTGGGGCAAAGTTCTGACCACGACCACGCGAACACATCACATCACATCACATCACATCACATCACATCACATCACATCACATCACATCACATCACATCATCACATCACTCAGCTGGCAACTTCGTAAAAATGCAAAGGCCGACTCTTCGCCCGTCAGGACATGAAGCACTCCAAGCTCTACTTCTTGCAAATGGCCAGGCCTTTGCATACGTGGCTGCTGCAGAGCAATCCACGAGCCTGGGGTTGCTTAAGCCTTCAAGCGCTATGTTCCCCAAGCAAGCTAATGAGATCTATGCAAGTCAATTCAGGGTATTTCTGACCCGACATTTGCCTAGAACTCGTTTATTTCGGTTGGAAGGTCGCCGGCCCAGCTTTGGCATGCTGCACATTGTTGAACAATGGTGCCGATGTGGCGAAATACGGGAAGTGAGTTGCCCACTCACACGACCCGGGAAGTAATTACTCTTGTTGCTGTTGCTTTGGGGAAAGTGGAATCCATTCAAAGACAAGAGGCCACGGCCATATGGACTGCAGCCGAGCAATACCAATGAAGGCACCTGTCCCCAAAAGCCAATGTTCATTACATCAGTCCCAATCATCTTTCTCCTGTTGCTGGTGATGAATACCACGCGGAGTGTTTACAGAGCTTATTTTTACCCTCCAATCCCCAGCTGCACTCAAGCTTTCTGCGGGGCTTTCAAGCACTGACCAGCTTAAGCACCTTTAGAGGCTTGTGGGTCTCAACTCGCACGTCTGGCCTATGGCCTATGGGGTGCTCAGCCGGCGCCGGGCTTCACAGAAACTTCACAGCTCAGAGACTTTTTGAACTAGCACAGCTTGGGTCAGGTGTGAATCTGTTTCAATTGTTAAGGCGAGACTGCAGTGGAAACCAAGGGAACCTTGCCCACACGAGTCCAACAGCTCTCTTCTCCAACCATTCGTTTCTTTACGAATTAGTATTAATGCTGCATGGAGATTCAGGATATAGCAAACCTAACACAATCACTGGGCACCGCATCAATTCTTGACCCTCCTAGGCAACTTCGATCATCTCAAACACAATTTCGGAGGACTGTACTAGGATGCAACGGATGTAACGATTTGAGATTCTCCAGGAACTGGCCTCCGATCATGTCCAGCTGTGACTTGCCATGGCAAAGAAGCTCCGCCCTCGGCCGAGGCCCAGTGGTGAACTTCTGAACCAGAGACCCCCAAGTATTGCTTTGAGGGTGGAATGACAAGGGATAAAAATGCTTTGAAACACGCTAGTTTAAAGGGCCATTAGTTTTTGCGATGTGATGGTGAGATCTGGACCACACGCATAGACTAACATTCTATCTCTGTTTCTTTCTTTGTGGGGCATCAGAAGGGGTCACCCCCTCCCCCGCGCAGAGCGTGCCCCTGGACTCTCTCTGTCCTATGCTACAATCAAAGCCCCTCTATCATCCTGTTCAACCCCATGTTTACGCTTCAAGGCCTTCCAGCGCATCCCTGCAAAATCCCAAGTAGGAAGCCAGATCTCTTATCAGTTCTGGGATGCAGAAAGCCAAAATCACGAATGATCGAATGATGCTTCCAAGAGGCTGAGGAGTTCTAGTTCTGGCTTTCCCTTCTGCACAGCTGGGCGAACCGCATCGCAAAGATACTTCCTTACAACCCATGAGCCTTAGGAATCACGTGTGAAATCATCTTGACCGGGGCTCTCCCAGTCGAGGGCATAGATCAGCTCCTCACCCACCTAAGGTCGACAGGCCGGCTGTGTCGTGCTTGCAACGCAACGGTTGCGAGGTTGAATGCGTGTTCAGCACGTGTGTTTTTGCAACTGGCCTGCAACGATGCTGCCAGGATAAAAGCCCAGGCACTGGAATGCTCACTTTGTGTACGCATTGCATGTGTTAAATACGTGTTGACCCTGTTGGAATTCGCATTTTTTGAGCCCTTTGCCATGCGGACGCACTGCGAATGTACCAGTAGTAACAATGATAACTACGACATCGATAAACTCCTCAGAAGCATGACTCATGGATACTCAGAGCCTTCTGCCAGTAACCTTCGTTAAATTTATAGATTATCAGCAAGGCAGGAAAGCAGGCGATACCACTTAGACAGGCAGATCCTTCTGGACTGAGACCCACGAGCCATCGCAGCCGGCCTGGTGCGCCCACAGAAACGCCACTCCCCCGGGACCGGTGTTGCCGTACCCGCCGAACTCGACAGTGCCGTTCCTGACTTTGTTTTGCGGTTCCTGACCCCTTCCAAGAATCACTTGCGCCCTGAGCCAGTACAAATCAAAAGCCTCAAGAGAAGAACTGTCTTGCCTTGTTGCTCAGTTTGGCCCAGGCGATTAAGGGTCCCGCGCCACTTTCCTGATCCCCGTTGCTGCGGCTTCAGGCTCTTCAGCTTTTTGGGGGTTTCCCGCGGTATTTTAAGGCTACATGCTCGGTGCAGGCTGCAGCAGAATGTTGTGGTCCTAGTAATCAAAAAATGAATATTCACATGCGCTGTCTAACCTGTAGTTTTGATGCGGAAGCCTGACACCCCCAATCCTAGCACAGGGGACCCTGCGACAGGTTTGTCGTGCTAGGCTGCTCACCTCTGTTTCTGCGCTGCCGCCCACACCACGAAGGTGTTGAAGGCCTTTCCAACTTGCCACCGGCGAGACTGTTCCCGGGATCGAAGCTCCAACAGTCCAGCTAGGCTAGACTCTGCTAGACTGCTCTGAATGAAAGAAGACTTGCCTTTGCCAGCTACCGCATCCATGAGGGGACTTTCAACTCCAAAAACAATAAGGGTGAAACAGCCCACTTCTGAAGAATACCCACCCAACAAGCAAAGCCACGTGGACCTCAATCCCCTAAGCCCCTCTCCACTTCTCCCGCCGTCATTATCTTCCGCGTCCACGTTTGGCGCTGGGCGCAGGTTGGAGAGCCGACCCTGTCGTCAGGCGCTTTGGTACTGTGGTACTTGAGAAGCTTTGAGCGCTTGTGCTAGTCAAACGGCCTAGGTCTGAAGCATCACAAGCTGTCACGCTGCGAGGCCGTGAGGTTGTAACGCGAGCCGATCATGCACAGATGTGTGCCAGTAGCAACCCTGATTGGACTTCAGCCATGGTTCTGGCCCAAAAGCTTTGGCTCATGCCAAGGGGAGATGAACCGAAAAAAACAACTCCCCAATAAGGTGCGGGACAAGTTCAAATGGCCTTCCAATTCTGAGGATTTCTTCGAGGAGGTCGATGATTTTACCCTTGGGTGAAGCTATCGTCCCAATTCTCACTTGCCCTCTTGTTCTTTAAGGTGCCCTGCATATGCACAACATGCTGTAACGGGCACAACAGGATGCAAACCGTGTTGAATCTGATTAGTGGGCGAGGCTTTCGGAGGTACGCACCTCCACAGGTTGCTTGAGGCTATTTGGTGCGCTTTGCCCATCAAGCGCTAGCAACATCACATATGAAATGCCCAACGCTCGTCGGCAAGCAACTCTCCCCAAATCCGAACCCAGCTGCTGCCGCGCCCAGTGCAATCTGCCGGTGCGCAAAGCGACGCGGGATGAGAGATGCGAACCACTCGCGCACCTAGCAGAGTTTGCATGGCCTTCGGCGTTTCACCGTTGGGAGCTCTATAGCATGCGAATCTAGGCTCAAGGCTTCCGCAAGGCTTTCCGCAAGGCTTCAGCTGGTCCGGGTCACATCTCGTCCGGGCCTAGTTGTCAAAGGATCATTGCTTGTTAAGAACTCTGCATCCTCCGTTTCCAAGAAGCCTCCACTTGGAGGGTGCCAATGCCGAAGAGCGCCATCCAGCTTTGTCACAGCGCGTTGATGCCTGGGCTAATATTGCATCAGCGTTGCCTGAACACTGATATGCTCGAACGATCCTTTTGTTGAATCGTAGTATAACAGGATTGAAGTCCTCCCCTGGCACTCAGAAGACTCCAGGAAACTTAGGCTGCATATGGCTGCACCGGCCAGGTGCCAGGCGCGCCAGGCGCAAGAATGGCTGGAGCGTTCCCGGAGGTTCTGCATTTCACTGATAGAGTCTTTGTCCGAGCTTTACAGAATGCTTCCCGAAAGGTCGCGTGAAGAGCATGAGGAGCTCTGAGCTGCTTGTCGAGTTTAGGTTGGGACGGGACGCTGGAGAGCTCACCTTCACAACCCTGAAGACCTTGCTGGGGCTGGGTGGGGGCGAAGTGCATGGCAGCTGCTGGTCAAGAAGGTGCTGCGGACCGGATCAGTAGCATGGCCACAGTGCAGAAAGGCAGGTCCGGAAAAACATGCCCAAATTTAGATCCTCCGCTGAAGAAATGACTCATGCGCATGCCCTCAGCATCCCTCGGCCATATGCAAGCTGCAGCAGTGGATGGCCTCGTCGCTGTCGCCAGCCTTGCTGAATCCAAGTAGCCCCCACCTAACATTACTTCCCAAGCCCTCAACTAAACACTCTTCTTGGCCCGAGCGGCGAGCTCGCCCTCCAGCTCCAGCTGCCATCGCTTCTTCGCCCGCGGCAAGCCGCGGAGCGGCTTGCCGAGCATGGGAAACCCATTTAAAAAGAGAAGAGTCCAGAACAAAAGCTAATACACACACACACATATGTATATGTATATATATATATGTATATGTATATGTGTATGAATATATGGCTCCTGATGGGTAGAGATCGCGTAGCACAGAGTAGGCAGTGCTGCAAAGTCGTGAGTCCGGTAGACCCTAAGCCCCTTCTGCTATAGAGCATCTAGAGCTGCGAGGGTGCAGAGTATAAGGCTTTTGTACCTGGGTTGTTTTTTTTCCTGCATGCTGCGCGTCCTCAGCCGAAGCAGCTTTGCCACATGCCTGTGCCTGTGGTGGGGCTAAAACATGCGGGAAGCCGGAAGCTGGCTTCGGTGAGCGGCTTGCTCGCCTTAACCTCTTAAGGGATTAACCCTCACCGCATGCCTTCTTCAAGAAGCAGGCAGTTGGCAGAATGGTCTTCCTTGTCTGCTACGAGATGGCCCACGCTCCCGTCGACAGCTCACGAAGGTTATTTTGTTGCGCCACATGGAGTCTAACCATCCATGAGTAACTAGTCTGATTCACCAAAACACTTTCAGGAGACCTGAAGAGCGTCCTTGTTGCAACATACTAGTCATACTGCGGCGCTGCTCCCTTGCAAAGGGCCTCTCCTTAAAAGAAAAATGCCGTTCCCTGCCCGCACTTCGCTTTTATCCACGCTGAGCCCAGGCGGCCGCCCACGCTTTTGGACATAGTCTGCCGCCCTGCAGGGATGTGTCGTATAAGCTTTGGAAGGTTAAGACCGGCGCGTTTGGGACCCTGAGTCTGCATGACAGCAATCCGTAACCACCTCCACCTTCTTACGCTCCAAAGCCGAGACGCCGGCGACCATTTGCCACTTCTGGACACACCCCTTGACGCACACAAAAATCATTTGGGACCTGACTCACGGGCGGCAGTTCCACAGGATTCTTCAAAGCAACAAGCAACCTGTCCCCTTTGTCTCCCTTTTGAAACCGGACTTGATGACTGCCAGCATTGCCCCTCTGTCTCCCTAAACCCTAAACCCTTAAACCCTTCAACCCTACATTTCCTCGGCCGGCTCTCGGGGCTGCTTGTCTCCGCTTGTCTCCCCTGGTCGCCTTGACCGGGTCTTCTGGGGCTCTCGCCTTTGTCCCTCGCATGTGGGTGCGCGTTATGCTTCAGAGCAGCCCCGTTGCGAGCAGACTCAGCAAGCACAGGTCCGGCGCGGAGGCGAAGTCGAAGGCGGGAGGGTCGTGTAGCCCTAGGCGACCCAGACGTCGGCAGGGCACCCCCTCCGGTCACTCCCTCCGTCGGGTGTCAGACATTCAAACCACCGTCGCAGAACTCCAGGACTCTTGCGACGGTTTGAAGGCGAACGCGGATGACTCTCAAACGCTTTCCTGGCAACATATCATCCGCATTTATAAGGTATATGGGTTGCCATCCTGTCCCAACATGCCTCCACGGACACGGACTCCGGACCACGTCTACCTCACAATTCAGGTGGGGCTTCTGGCTTTCTGACTGTCGATGACTGTCGCAAGCAAAGTGCCGTATTCCTTGAACTGCCATGATAACCTCGTCGTATCTTGAAGTACTCTCTCCATTTGCATACTTGGATACTTCACTTCACACTGTCCGTAGCCAAGGTACGCAGCCAGGCCTCGCAGGGACCTGCGAGAAGGTTCCGAGTTTGTTCACAGAGTTTAGGAAGCCTCTTCTCTTCGCTCAACAACAAGGTTTCGGCTCTTCATAAGTTCTCGGCCTCCGCAGCTCGGCGAAGCCGCCGGCAGCGCCCAGAGTGGCCACAAAGGCATCTACGTCCAAGTGGAGCACCTGGGGCGAGTGCGCGGTGCAGGTCGGCGCGCAAGCTAGCAGAAGCGTCTTGGGACGGGTCTTTGCATGTCTTGTGTTTTTATGATTAGGCACTGACTGAACCCATCCTAAGCTTTCGCATAGTCGCATAGTCCAATTTCTCCCCTGTTGAACTCCACAGCTCCGAATCCTCCCTACGGCCCCCCATGGGAAGTGAAAGTGATGTTCAGAGCCTTGAAGGGCGGATCCAGCTTGGCAACAGCTTCCTGCTCTTTGTGGCTTAGCACCTACATTCCTACACTGCAGTCGAGGTCCGGATTCTGCAGAATGCAATTTCTCGGGATGCTAAATGCGTGCTTAAGCGAGGGCCAAACATAAACAATGCTCCTGCGAAGTTGCTGGCGTCTTTGGCTTTTTAACACTTCAGGAACACTGTGCACTGGATGGTCGCTCCTCCAGTTCGGCACGTTTCTGCGCCGGCGCGACCATGGACACCTTGCATAAGTTTCAACTTGATGCCTACAACCCAGTCGAGCAAGCCAACCGACAACTGAGAAGGCATGTTCTGGAAGGGTGTGACAGTGTCAGAGAGCCTGGCAATGTTAGCCTGCCCACAACTCATGCGGAAGCCACACTGGGCTCATGACCCAGCAGGTCTCTAAACAAACCCCTCTGCAAGGCAGCCCAGGGCGGCGGCGGTGCGCCCACAGGTGCCGTCGAACAAGGGTAGCACATGCTTCTGCATGGCAGAGCGTACGGAATCCTCGGCGAATTCTCAACCCGAAACAAAAAGTTGATCGCCGCACCGACTTCCTGTGAACGATGTAGTCAGAAACCTACCGACATCCCTGAGACACCTCGCAAAATCGCATTCTAAACCTGTTACCATATTTCCCCAAATACTTCCTGGATTGCCGGGCTTCCCTGTCAGAACGAACGTGGCAGCTCTGCGATGCTAGTTGCCGACATGTCTCCACTCCCTATACTTCAGCGAGTTTTCAGAATTCAAAACAGAACTGGGGAGTCTGACTTCGACCCTGGGACGGTGTTGAAGGTATCTGTCGTCTTATCTATCGTCTCATTTGCTGAAGAGACTGGATTGCTTTGAATCTCTTGTCCCGTGTGTCTGCGCACGCCTCCGTCACATTCTGCACGGCTTTGAGCAACCACTGCAGCTGATCAGGTGGGCAGCGTTGGAGCCTCTGCTCAATGCATCCGGATGTAGTTGCAACTTGCCAAGATAAACTTGCCGAGATGGTTGCTTCGATGAGCCAAAGCGAGGCTCGCAGCCGAACGTACTGAACTCAGCCACTGAACGCCCCAAACTTCTCGGCAGAGCGGCATGTTGTCAAAAGCCTCACCCATGGCTCCTTCCATCGGAATTGTTGGATGTCGGTTCCGGGTTTTTTTTTGTTGACTGTCACCCCCGCTGGTATCAAGGGCCATGTAGCCTAGCCACATGCTTAAAAGGCTTATCCAGGTCTGGCTGGCAGAGCTCAAGCCCAAACTAACAAAAATTGAGGTCCGTCGCCAAGTTCCGGAATGAGCTGAAGCCTCAGGATCCTCACTGCGCCGTGCACACCCCTCCCCCAAGGCTGGAACTCCCCCAACTCGGGAGGTTTTCGCGAGCCTGGCACGGTGTCGACCGGCTCGATCAAGCCAAACAGGACTCCGCCTCGGCAGTCTTTTAGCATCTCCCCAAGAATCGCAAGAGAACTGCAGCCCTCACTCTGCCCTGTTCTCGTGGGACTGGCATAAAATGAACCTCGGGCACTCTTTCCAAAGACCGACAGTACGTTCTTTCGTTCGAAGATGTCCATTCGGGTCGGCTTGCAAAAGGATTGGCGTCTTGCACCTTGCATGTGGCGTTCTATTGGTGCCTTTCGTGTGCGTGTTCAGTTTGACACATGAAGAGTTCACGCTTCGCCGGTCAGTTGGGGCTGTACACCCGATCTGAAATCAGCTTAGCTTGACTTTCGACAGAATGCAGCCCGGTGACAAGTACGTGCAGGTGGCGGTGCGCAACTGCGAAACAGCCCAAACCAGGAACCGAAAGGGTTGAGCCAAGTTGCTCTGGGCAGCTTCCAAGGCCTTTGCTCTTCCGCTCTTCCATGTTCGCACCCGTGTTCTTCCATGCGCTGCACAGAAGCTGCAGACTTAAGTACTTTCCGGGGTATGACCGACGAAGGCCCGCTCTGTTGGCGATGCGTTGCTTCACAAGGATACCTACGCATGGCCCCCTTCCCATCCCCGCATGACCCCCCTATCGATCTTGGAATCGCCAGAAAGTAAAGAGCAGCCGCAGTCATGGATGACCACTCTGCTTCCCTATGCGCCCACTTGCGGACATGCCAATCTTTTCTGCGCACGCACGAACATGAAGAAGAAGGAGGGTACTTCTGCGGGTCCAAGTTCTGCGGTCAAGAAGCACTTGGGTCCAAGCCAACTTCGTCATCTTCATTCTCGTCCCCCT